GGCACAGAGGGTAGAGTAGCCTGGTCTGGTGCTGTTGTGGAGAGCAGAGTGCTGGAATTTTGTGTGAGGTCTGGAAGTGTGAGGTAGACTACCTGTAGATGGAGCATCCATCTGATTTCTTGCAGTCCTGACTGTGACAGCAATCAAATGGTTATAATTATTGTATGCTGCAGCAGGGTTCACAAGCCAAGTCTTTGGGGAAACTCACCTTTTTTGGTATTTATGTGTTTCTGGTACTTTTTTGAGGAACACATATAATGACCTGACATAATCTGTGCCCAATTTAAGCAGTGTTGGCTCTAGTTGTGTGGAACAGCTGAAAAACACATTTCTCTCTGTCAACACTTGCCAGGATCTTCAATACTTCTTCTAAACTATGAAGGAGTTAAAGATTCTAAATAACTTTAGGAAAATTATGGTGGGAGTGGTAGGCAGTCTAAATACAGGGGTCACAAGTGTTCCTTCTGTGATCTCGAGTTACTCTGTATGAGCTGGGCACTGGCAATTTGTATCAATAGGCTCTTAGGCTTTTATTTGATACTTAAGGTATGTTTTTGGTAAAACAGTCTCAAATAAGGAGTTGTATCCAGAACTTCAAGCAAAATGCTTGAGTAACTTCTTGTGTGTGGAAGGGAAGGGAGCTGGAGCTGGGGAAGCTACTTAGTGCAGGGGAGCACTTAAGTGCCTGTGTGTTACTAAGCCTAGCAACAGGAAGTTGTCATTCATAAGTGAGATGCCTCTACTGAGTGTTTTCTTTAGGTGAGTTCTAATGTCAGTATTTATTACAGGAAGGGAGTGTGTGTGGTGGTTGTTTTGTTTGTTGTTAAGCAGGGCCTTGTTTGGTAGGGTGCTCTGTAGTTGTCAAGGGTTAATGTAGGTTCAGTAGGTTCAAGAGGCTTTACTTCACTGGCATGTATTTTCTTATCTTACCAACAATTTTAGGATTTGTCCTAGGATTTGGAGAAGTTAAGTTAGTTCATTGGGTGTCATTGTAAAAATTCTGAGGTAATCTGTAAGAATCCTTGAGAAAATTAAATATTTACTACTAAAGAGCGTTGTTTCTCTGGAGTTAAGTGTTCACAACCAAGGAGCTGACATGTCCTTTCTCTGGTATATGTGCACTGTAGCAGCTTTGCAAGCCAGTTGACTCTTAGCATTATATGCAACTTTTCTGTTGTAAAGCATATTGCAAAGACACATGCCTCTAGCAAACCTTGCATTTATTGTTACTTTTATGCTTGTAAGATTTGCAAACTCAGTATTTTTTATATAATCAGTTGTAGAAAATACTATGTATAGTATTATCCTTTTGAGATAAGGAAATATGTCCTGTAACTTGGGGCAGTGTGAATATTTAACCTAGAATAATGCAGTCCTATAGTGCTACATATGCAAAGAAGGAATTGAATTTGATGGTGTATCCAAGCCATTTACTTTGTCTTACTTTTCCTGAAAATATTCATGTGGGTTTTAAAATAACAATACTTCCTGTTTATTAGAATCTTAAAAGTAAGAAAGTAGGTTCTTGAAAGAACATGTTGCTTTGATATAACTCAAACAGTAGTGGTAATGCTCACAAATAATTTTGGTGGTGGTTTTTTCTTTTTTTTTGAAAGAGGTTCTGAAGTAGTAGTATACATTGCTTCCCTCGGACCCTGATTGTCCTTTACTTTGTAAAATATGTTAAATAGGTGTAGACACATACGAAATGTCTTGTTTGATACAAAGTTGCATGGTTTTGCTTAGTTAAATAGGAAGACTTGATTACTGATTGGCAGTTAACGCATAAATAGAAGTTTTTGGTTAACTTTTAGAGAAAACAGGTCTGACTTTATATCTAGATTACAGCATCAGACTTGTGTTATTTGTACCCCATCTCTGGAACACTGTGTGGCTTTGTGTGGAATGAATATTTCAGTAGTCTAATAGTGCAAATTAAAAAAAACAAAGTACAAGCTTCTGACTTGTTCAGTATTTCTTGTACACTAGAAACTACACTAAATAAAACTCCTTTTTTTTTTTCCTTTCCCTTCAGAGTTCACAATGACGAATGAAGAACCTCTCCCAAAGAAGGTATGTTTAAAATTACTTGTGACTTCACCCTCCCAGGTAATCATGACAGCTTGATAAGTTGTGCTTTTCTTTTTGCTTCACAGGTTCGCCTTAGTGAAGCAGATTTTAAGGTTTTACCTAGAGATGAGCTTATCCTAAGGTAAAGTAAAAAGTGTGGTTTTTGTCTTAACATTTTAGTGAACTTCTAGTGAAAGATGTGTGAATTTACTCTTCTGGGTTTTTTTAGCGTCTTTGTTTTGAAAAACTATTTTATCTGTTTCATGATACAACTCTTCTGTAAAGTTCTCATCTCAAATAATTTTATTTGTAATTTGGGAGGGAACCCTTTTTCCAAAGAGGCAGAATTCCCGAATAATATTTAATACATGAATAGGAGTGGTTTTTCCTTCACTTGTAAGCAGTCGTATCTTCTGTTGTTACATTCCTTGCTAGATAGGAAGTCCTGAAACAATCCCTCAGCCTTAGCCATATTGTTCACCACCATTAGTCTACCCTGGCCTCCAGTCGGGAGGCCTGAGACACACCATCTATAACGCTGCTGCTGCTTTTGAGAACACACGCAGGATCACTCTCGAGGAGAAAAGACAACGCCGAAAGAATCGCATCTTGTCACGCGTCTTGACACCTGGGGAGTCTTTCTGCTGTATGTTCTGCAACCAGACTTGTCTATCTCGCATTGGCCTTTTTAGCCATCAGCGCGCTTGTAGCAAACGTGGGTAGAGCCCTTCTCAAATCTTCGTTCGTGAAGCCTAGCCACGATGAGATAGGAAGTTATTTTCAACATCAGAAAAATATCAGCTTCTTACTCCTACAATATGTTTTATGAGTCCATGCAGTCATCTTCTCAGCATGTTCAGATATTAGCAGTAAAGTATTAAAATTAAGTTAAAGTTAAGAACTTGCGTAAGGAAGAGCCTAGCCATCTTTTGCACCTTTTAGAAAGTAAAGGGTCACCGTGGAAACAGTAATAGGCAATACTGTTGCACAGACCACCTGCTTAAAGAAACCGACCCAAGCCACTTGTCTCTCCATGCCTGAATTTCCTAATTTGTAAACAAGTAGCTAACTAAACTAGACATCTGTGGGTTATCTGGTTATCTGCTGGAGTAGTTTGTGCATTGTGGTAAACTTTAGTTCTTAGCTTTTTGTAGATTGGAAGTTGTTAGCATTATTAGGGTCTCAAGGTAAATTTTGCTCTTTCATAGAACAAAGACTAAATTGTGTAGAAGTGTGGGGATACATATGCAACACTTACTGTGTGTGTGATGATCAGCTGTTCTCCCTCCTGTCTGGGTAAACTATCCTGCCAGAGACTTTTGGGGTGACAGTTCTTTGTAGGGAGTAAACATAATCTGGCTCCTTAATTTTAAAACTGGTTTCTGGCTTCCTCTGAGTATGTAGTTTTCTGGGTAATGAATAATGTATTTAAGCAGTAAGGAAAAATGCTGCTTTGATGTTAAGTGGTTTTGGCCTTGGGATCCTTTTCATAATTTTTTTCTGTTCTCAAGATTATCTCTGGAAATAGTGAACTCCTAAGCCTCTAAAGCTGTGCCCTTACTTCCAGCTATAAAATTCATGTGAAAGTACTAAAGCATAGATTCTATGCCACGTGTTTTCTGACTGATAGTGTGAAAACAAAAAAAGGCTTCCCATTGTAATCAGTTTCTGTAACTTGCAATGATTAGTTGCAATTGTAGAAGAGATGAATTTCCAGCATATATTCAAGTGAGAATGTGATGGAATGCATCCAAGGAGGTAAAGTATATTAGCAGCTAACCTGTGTTAAAAGAGACTGAGGGGAATTTACCAATAACAGCTATGTTGCTATTGAATCATATTCTTAGTGTGTAGAAAAAGTAACTTATGCTCTCAAAAAGGGCATCTGATGGATTTAAGGAGAATAACTATTCACTCTACCCAGAAGAGGAAATTTAAATGCTATTTTAGCTGTGTCTGCTTTATTACTGTGACTATACTGAGCAGTCCTACGAATCCTGTTCTTGTTTGTATGGGGTGCATATTATGGATTTATAGCAAGTTCACCTCTAATTGTGATTTCACATAAAAATAACAATTATTACACTAACTGCTGGCTTCATTTGAGGTTGCAACAAAGTATTATTACTACTATACATATATTTTAATGTCATCTCAACTACTTTGAGACGCGGAAAATCATGTGTTAACTGCTGCATTGCCTTAAGATTTGGAATATATTTTTTGGTCCATGCTTTGATGAGGCAGATGCTTTCTAAGAAGGGCATGTCATCACCTTTTAGTCTTTCAGGTTGCAGCAGTGTCATCATTGCTGTACAGTTGCATAATACATAAAACATATGTGGAAAAGATTAATTTTTTTTGGCAGTTTCTGTGCTATGAATCCCAATTTCACCATTCTTTTTCATGACGTACATAATTTAGGTTTGCTCATTTTAACGTTTGTTGACTAAACATGAGCAGGACCAACACAAAGCCTTTAGGTGTGGTCTCTTGAGGATTTCTGCTTGTCTCATGGCTTCTTGTTGTGGACTCATCTTCATATTTCCCCTCTTTAATGTAGTAGTTTCTTAGATTGACTGTGTAGGAGCTTCTGAGAGAAAGAAGAGCCAGGAACACTGTAACAAAATACTGTGGTTAAACTAAAAATCTGGTCAGTATTGCCCTGATCATTTAGCCTTGTGGTTAGGCTACATGATTTATTTGGCGGGGGTCTGTTCCCCCCCCCCAAGTAGATAGGGGTCTGTCATGTCAACTTGTGTTTCAGGTTTCACTTGCTCTTTTTATTGCTCCTGTTAGGAGAGTGTGGGTGTGTCACGATTTTAAAAGAATTGCTGGTTTTGGGCTGTGAAGTGAAACTTAAAAGTCAAGTAATCCTGTATATTTGAGGAACAACCATTTTATTGCCTACCATTCTTTCATGCAGAATTCCATTATTTCTTTCTGGATTTGATGTTTAGTAGATCTTTTCAGTTTTACTTTTGGAGGATTGAAATCTCCTGCACTAACATAGAACTTTTAGTGGTCAAATGGTGAAAATTATTAAAGCAGAGAGATAAGTTAAAGGGTTAATGAGGGTAGAAATACAGCTGCGGTCTTTTACAGAGTTTGAGAGGTAATTAATGCTCTTTTCATGTTCAGCTGAAGAGATGCAGAATTTTGTTGTTGCTTGAAGGAAGAGATCTTGTGCTTTCCTTTGCTTTTTCCAGTGATGTGATCTCAGTTGCTGTTACTGATCTGATTCTTTTTAGAGCCTTTAATGAGCTGTTTGAATTCACTAAATGATCAAAAATTACCTAGAGTTAGATTTTGCAGTTTTAATTCAGATAGTGGTGTAATTAGAGAGTTAAAATAGAGCAGTAGTGATGAGTCTGGCATAAAATAGGTGTTAGGGAGAAAGCGTAGTTGGGAGGACAGAACAGAAATCTCCTTTAGTGGTGAGCTGTTAGATGAATTTTCTTCATAATGTGGAATTGTACCATCACAAGGAACATGCATAGTTAGGTGCAGAATGCTACTTTAAAAACATAACAAATCCAAAGACGCTACCCTGTGAACTTTGTTCATAATGCATTTCATGCTAAACTTCACCACTTAGACTTTATTTGCTTCAATTTAGTGGTTTGTATCAAATGCAGCACTTTTTAAGTATGATGTTTTCTGACTCTGGATGAATTGCGTCAATAACATAACCTTCAAAGAGTTATTAAACTCTTGGTCTGATTATAATCAGAGAATAGTCTTGATTTGAATGAGCTGATATAGCTACTTAACCTAGAGTGCCATTTCTAGTATATTATAATACACTTCTGCTTGTCTTGTTCACTTAGTAACAGACTTAAAATTTGTATTTGTATCACAGTTTCTGTTACAGAATTTTGTTTGAATTGTTCTGCTCTGAGAATGAGATGCATATTGGGTACATTACAAAGATAACAATTAGTGTTTGATCCCAATGGTTGTGTAAAATACTACAGTAATTTTTAAGATGTCAATTTTAAGTGTAATGCACAGCTACCTTTTAATTCTCTTGAGATGCAAAGTGGATGTAACTATTTTCTCAATTTAAAACTGGATTTCTCTCTTATGCGGTTGTGTTATTTCATCTTGAAGTTTTCTGATTATGGTATCAATGTATATTCTGGAAGCTTACAAATTAGATGCCTTGATTTAATACACTGAGCTTCAGAAAACACTTTTTTTTCTGTTTATATCTGCAATAGGTGGAAACAGTATGAAGCATACGTGCAAGCTCTGGAGGGCAAGTACACAGATCTTAACTGTAAGTTAGCCAAGTTTCAAAATGGTACAAGTTATCTGAATGTTTGTATAAAGCAGAGTGGTCAAGTAATATCTGTGTTTTCTAAAATTTCTAGAAGTAAGAGGTAATAATCTATGATGTCAGTTACTTGTCAGAATAAAAGTCCCTGGCTTTTCTGCTGTAAGTTTTCAGCCCCTTCCAATTTTCTCATCAACTTTTCTGTTGCAAATTTATCGCAGCATCTAAAAAGTCTGGTTTTCTAGGATCCAGGCATCTGGGATGGGGACAAGCTTCGAAGCATAACCCCATAAATACACATATTTTCAGAACTTTACTATTAGGAAGGAAACTTTTATCTACTGAAATACTCCATGAAGGTCTGTGCCTTTAGTAGAGTTACAGAATTGTAAGATTGGCTGGAGGAATAGTTTTTAGAGGTAAATTTCTAAAGCGAGTCACCAAGTAATGTTTAATCTCATTAGGCAAATTTGATTGTTGTTCTTACATGGTCGCTAAAACTTGGTCTTTTGAAAGAATGGGAGAAACATCCTACTTTGAAATGAGAAAATGTGAATACATTCTGGGAGTGACTGAATAGCCAATCCAAAGTCACTTTTAAAAACTGAATTGGCAGCTAGAGATGGTATATTTGCTGTTTTCCACTCACCTTTTCAGTCTAAATACTTAAAGACATAGTACCACTAAGTCCAAAGGGTATTTTTCTGTCAGTCCAAATGGATGTTCTCTGTTTTTGCTGTTATGTCCCTCTTCTACTGTCATTCTGTAATGTGTGAGTTTTGGAGAGGCTAAGATATAGCAAATGGAAGCAGCTAATTTTGTTCACATCTCAAACTGCCTTAGATAAGTTGTTTCAGCATTCCCAGTTTCTTGACTTTTGGGGAACAGTACAGGCCATAGTAATCAGTATTACTGAATTATCTGCAAAGAATTATTTAGAAATAGTCATGAAGCATGTGTTCTTAGTTTCCATTTACAGCTGATAAATTAGATTTTTTTTCCAAATTACTCAAACTTTTCATTATTTTATGCATGACAGGTAGCAGTGAATGTATACAGTTGGGTTGCTGTTCTTGTTTGAATAGTTTGGAAATGTGCTGCCTTCTCTCATATTTCGTATATAAATTTTCATAAGTGTTAATGGATCCAGAAGAATTCCAGTTGTGACTGAACTGCCATTCCTGAAGTTCTTGGATATCTTACTGTTTGCTCGTGGAGTGTGGAGTTTGAGGATTGCCCACAAACAGCATGGTTTTAGACTGCATATTGCTTTTTGCCAGAGTATAGACTTCCCTCCTTCCCTGCCCTGGCCTCACCTTTTATTTTACATACCAAGGCAGTTTCAAATCCCCAAGTTTCAAACTGCAAGTTATAGTAATAGTTGGTTAAGCAAGCAGTTTAAAAGTTACTTCTTATAGAAACATCTTCAAAATTTGAGTAAGTCTTTAGGAAGGACCAAGAATATGGATTTAAAGCCTGCTGTTGTAAAGCTTTTCTAATATTTAGGAGTATTTTGATTTTTATTTATGCTTGTTATAGCCTTTTTCAGTCATGCTTATTTGTGACTTCTGCTTATGAATTTGGTTTTTAGACTCTCTTAGCTGTCTTTTAAAAAATTTTCATGAGAGGATACTATAAAACATGCTTTTTGTGTTGTTGCTTGTATCAGCTAATGATGTGACGGGGTTGAGAGAATCAGAAGAGAAGTTGAAACAGCAACAGCAAGAGTCTGCCCGAAGAGAAAATATTCTGGTGATGAGGCTGGCAACTAAAGAACAGGAGATGCAAGAGTGTACTGTAAGTATTTATAAAAGATAAGTGTGTTCAGACAGTTGGAAGAATATCAGCTTTTGAGCAGTATCCATGTGCTGTGTTTTTTGTGTATCTATGGCATCACACTTTCTATATTTAAAGAAATGGCAGGGCACTTAAGCTTTCATTGAATTAATAAAGATCACGTCTTTAAAGTTTAGGGTTTTTTAAATATTAGTTATTTCAGTTGATTTTTCAGCAGCAGTTGTGATTGGAAGGACTTTTATTTCAAACCAGGTTAGTTCTTACATGTTCCATGCTTTTATTTTCTAGCATTTATCAACTGTGCATATTTACCAAAATGTTACTTCTGACTGTCATTAGAATCAGGAACAAATTAAAGCATAAAGATTGAGTTTACTGGGTTTCATTTTGGAGGTTTTAAACTGATATTTACCTTGGATTTGGATAACAAGGTATTTGTAAGCCTTTGTATCTGTCTGGCTAGGTAGGTGAAAGACTTTTCAGACGAAGTTCTTTTGAAATTTGGCACATCTGCTACACGTTTCTAATGTTTGCTGATCTTTGTTTTTCTCTCCCTTGCTTCTGGGTATCTTCTGTGACTTCTTCAGTATTTAGTTTTGGTTTCTTGAAAATATCATCTTTTGATCTGGGGTTTGCATTGCCTTCTTAACATTTTCATCTGCTTGAACGGGGCAGCTCCTGAAAGAAGATTGTAAAAAGCTTCTTATTGCTAGTTCTTGTAATGTACTCTTCAGAACTCCTCTTACGAAAAATAGAAGCTCTGTGCAAAACTAAAAACTAGTATTGTAGTTCTCCTCTGTTTTTTCAAGCCTTCCTTTTTTCCCCTGAAGGTTTTCAGAGCTGTCACGTATAGTAGTGTGATGCTTAACTCTGTACACATTATTTTCACTGCTCTTTAGACCAGAAGATCACTTTAGTTCATAGTAAGTAGTGTTAAAAACAGGGGAAAAAAAAAAGGGGGGTTAAAGGTTACTTTGCAGTGGCAAAAAATTAATCCTAGAATCACTGAGGTTGGAAGAGACTTGTAGTTTGTCTAGTCCAGCCTGCCTGCTCAGAACAGGATCAGTTGGACCAGGTTAGTAAGGACTGTGCATAACTGGGTTTTTGAGCATCTCCTAAAACTCTTTTGATCACACTCACGGGGTGAACTGTGACACTATTGAATGACCGACTCAGCAAAATGGGTTTTCTTACGTTTAAATAGAATCTGCTGTGTATCAGTTTGTGCCCATTGCTTTTGGTGGTCACTGCTGTCTCTGCCTTCTTTACTTCCCCATCAGGTATTTGTGGACATTGATAAGATCTCTCTGAGCCTTCTCTTCTCCAGGTTGAGCAGCCCTAACACCCTCAGCCTCTGCTTATATGTTACGTGCTCCAACCTCTTTAATCATCCTCAAGGCCCTTCATTGACCTTACCCTAATATGTCTGTGTCTCTTCTTGTATCGGGGAGCCCAGATCGGTACCCCATACTCCACATCTCACCAGTGCTGAGTAGAGAGGAAGGATCAGCTCCTTCGACCTGTTGGCAGCACTCCTCCTAATGCAGCCCAGGATGCTAATGAAGATCTGTTTTGGTACTATACTGCAACACTTAACTAGTAGTAAGACTATTATATTGAACCTGCTTCTCTTGTTAGTCTTACTGATAAATTCTGCTATACAGAACACCAGTAATAAAGGGGGTTTTGAACCCCTGAGCATATAGCTGAAACAATAAATACTTTAAAAAGTTTTCCAGCAAAACCAGATTTGTGTGTACTATATTTACCTTTCTTTATTCCTGTTTTTAAAATAATGAGTTAAAACTTTCAAGTATTTAAATCTGTGAATTTTGACAAGATGATGAACACTATAGGGTTTTTGACTGCACTTAGATGGTTAGATGTTTATAGCTGCATAATCTTTCGAGAACATCTGTTTAGAAGAACTTCTGAAGAGCTTTTATTTTCAGTGTGCTTTAACAAAGAACAAGGGGGTGGGGGGCAACCTACGAAAAAGAAGCAAAAGACAGACACATGCCCACACACTCACGTGGTTTACACTTTTCCAGCTATTGGCTCATGAATAACATCAAGGATGTAATCTCCATAGTATATGGAGGTAGGAAAATGCATCCTTGAAGAGGAGTCATAAAAGCTGTAATGGAGACATTGGCACCTGTAGGTGTTTTCAAGTTTAAATGCACATAGTTTCAAGATGGTGGAAGGAGTGTTTGACTTTGTATTACTAGAGAGTATTTTTCCAGGAAAGTGACAGTAGAAAAATAAATAATGTTGGATGAGATGCAAAGCTAAGCTATGTTGCTAAATCATTTAATAAACAAAAACTATCCACAATATGACATTATTTGACATGTCTAATTTTTAATCCATAAAATAACTTTATTTTTGACAGTTATACTACTTCAGGGAAAAGCCTTAGCCCCCTTCCAGGCTTTACTGGACAGTTATTGTAGGTCAGTAAGCAGATAGACATTTGGAAATACTTGCTACTCAAAAATATTTTCCATGGAACAGATAACAATGAGTGGAACTTACTGTGGGTGCAATTGGACTGTAGCACCTAGATAGTCATTACTCTTGTAGTTTAGGTTACAGCTCTGTGCTTTTATTCTTCTGTACTTTCTTCCCTCCTACTCCTTCCTTATAAGGATATAATGTAGTTGTACTTACTTATATTGCTTACAGTTTCTGTTAGACACCTGTGTTCTGTTTTGTTAACTTCTCCACATTGGAGAGTTTGTACTTTGTGGCTATCTTTGGATGACTTCAGCTGAAAGGATGCAACTGTTTTCAAGAATGTGTGAGAACAAGAGGGATTGAAAATGTTATTGTCTGTCTTAACAAAAAGAGATAAAAAATCCACCCAAACAAAACTCCACACAGCCTGATGTCCTCTAAATAGACTACTTTCAGTGTTCTCCTGCCTTGGGTTAGAACAGAGAAAATTGATAACAAGGGTTTTTTTCTGTTTGTGCAAATTATGCCTGCTTGTCCATCTGATGGGCTTTTGAGAAATACCAGCTAGTGTGTGCTTTCATGTTTAGGAATATGAGCAGTCAGTAGCCATTTCAGGTTTGGAGTTGGCATCCCCTGCAGTCTGGTGTTGGACATGACTATTCCTGTATATTCAGCTGTAGCCTGAAGTTGGTCCTGACTGCAGGCAAACTCTCCTGTTCCCTAACCCTTACCACCTGGAATATCAGTGGGAGGTGAACTGTACCAAAAAGTGGTTAGAGGGAGGAAGAATGAGAGGTTTGGACTGGCGAAGCAGGAAGATAATGGAATTAGGAAATAGCAGAAGAGGGAAGTTATTTGGGCTTGATTTGGGAACAGGTCATGTTGGGAGGAGGTTGCTAGGTCTCCAGGGCTGAAAAGTTTGATAGGTGAGAAGTCTGGAGTTACAACTGGACAAAGCATTTGCAGATGCATAGAGAAAATGTGAGTTGGAAAAGCTGGAGTAAAAAGTGGTCTTTAAGTCTGGGGAGGGAATGAGCAAGGGTTGTTCAGCTTAAATAAGTTCTTTCTACACGACTGTTCTAGGAGTGATAGTTGAGGTGGAACCCATGCAAGTGCCGTCTGCTGGGTACAGGAGTGTGAGCTGGGGAGACCCCAATGAGACTGTCAAATAACTAACATTGGACAGCATCAGCTGGATCCTCTAGTGTTTTAGTGTGCTGCTGGCATGAGAGCAGTGGCAGCAATTCTGTGTGCTGTCTATCCAAGGAATCTGTTATAGTTCTTAGGCTGGCAGTGGAAGAAGGAGGGACTTGGGCCTAGGTAAGACAGGAAACATGTCCTTCTTCCCCCCTCAGTGATTCCTGTCTAAAACCAGGGTGAGAATGATGTTGCTGTATCATAATTATATTTCTGAAATACATTGCCAGTGAAGTTGTCTCTGTGTGTAGCTGTTTCACCATCTACTGGCTCTAGCTATGCAAAGAATTGACAGGTTATTGAAATACTTCAGTAGTGGAAGAATCAGAAAATTGAGAGGATAGGAAAGATACATCAATAACAATAAATAAAATATATCTGTATTTAGTGAGGCAAAGGACCTGTGAGGATAAAATGCCATCCAGGAAATGTTAGAATAACCTTAATTTGGACTACCTGTTTCTATGCAGTGTTTGTAGGTGGGTTCTTGAGTGCTTTATTTCTTGGAGATATTTATATGCAGTGCTTTATTCCCCTTATATTTCTTTTTAGACACATAAAAGTTGGTCTATTTAAAGTATGACTTCAGTTTTTGTAAGTAGCTAAATGTTTTTATTTTCATAATATCAAATTAATACGTCAGTGGAAAAACTTCAGTTCTTTCAGTACTTTTGAAATCACTTGAAGTAAAATCAAAGAATTGTTGCTACTTAACAATATATAAATTAAAACATTTTATCCTCAATCTAGAAGTGACTGAGGTTGCTACTGCACATTGATGTAAATAGGATTTTTTTGTACTTCACTGTTGCTGTGTAAAGACCCCATAAACAGAATAACTGTATATACAGGGAAATGATTAAATTGACAGTGCTTTTGGCTGTGCTGTGTGTCCCAAGTAAAGCAAAGTGTGGAGGAACACTCTTGCCTTTTACTGTTTGTCAGTGAAATTCTGCTGCTGTCAAGTCTGGTTGCAAGACCTGCATGAAGCAGGAGGCAAACCACGCCACTTTCAGTTAAGGTTATTTAATATCACACAACTTTGTTCACCTCTTGCTGATGAAAAAATATGTGTGATTCAGGGAGCATAATAAATTGACTTTCAGAATTAACACTCTGTGTAGGCTGCTGTGATATTGGTGGTTAACTGGGTTCTAAACATGTACTGTTTAGTACGATTTAAGAGAAGAGTTGTGATGGGAATAAAATTTAAGAAACTTTCAAAACAAGTTAATACTATTTTAATACACACAAGTTTTGACTAATAATGCTATATTTAAAAGAAAACATCTCAGTTACTGCTTCTGAAATTTTGAGTATTTTAAGTTTTCTGGGTTCTAAGTATATAAAATTGTGGATCTTTTGGGTTATGGTTGTTGAAAAAGAATAAAACCTAATCAAAATCTGCTTCAACTGTTGTTAAATTTCTAAGTTACTTTGTTTAAAATTACATAATCCTGCATCGTAACCGACTGCTGCATTTGTAAAAAAAATTAGAAGTTGGTAAAATCCTTTTTATTATTTACTTAATAAATTTCTTGTCAGTTTTAGCTGTAATGTTCCTTAATAATTTTACTGAACTGAAATGGAAATTAGTTCTCTCTTATAAGCAGATAATTCTTTCTGTGTGCTTTTTGTCCCCCCAAAATGTTCAAGCACATAGAAAAGAAGGGGAGCATTCTAATGCTTCAGCTATTATTTTAACAAATGTAAATAGACATACAGAAAATAATCTGGGCTGTAGAGGGGAATCTGCCTTGGAAGGTTAAGCTCGGCAGGTGGTGGGGTGGGGTACTGGGTGATTACATCCATTGATAGGGTGCAAGGTGCACAAAAGTAATTTTTACCCTGCAGTTTTCAGGTTACAGTGCTGAGAGGAGGCAAGCTACCTTGATATTATCTTTGGAGTAACTATTTTTATTTGCATCTAACTTACTTTCAATTTTTATTTAATATTATATGAATAACAGTCTTTTTTTCTTGTTTTATGCAGAATCAGATTCAGTACCTCAAGCAAGTCCAGCAGCCTAGCGTTGCCCAACTGCGATCAACAATGGTGGACCCAGCCATCAACTTGTTTTTCCTAAAAATGAAAGGTGAACTGGAACAGACTAAAGACAAACTGGAACAAGCCCAAAATGAACTGAGTGCCTGGAAATTTACGCCTGATAGGTAAACAAAACAAATACTCCCCAGTCAAGACTTCCCTGACAGTCCCACTACGAGAATGCTATGGTGGGACAGCCAAGTACTCGTTTCCACACCAAGACTCAGACGTTTTGAGGCAAAGGCCACATTCTTATACTGTCCAGCTTGTAATGCTTAATGTAAAACTTACCAGATGAACCTTGTGTTTCAGCTTTTTTCTCCCCCTTTGCTTCAGAGGCCTGACAGCGTCGGACTATTCTGAAGAAATGGCCATCTTCGAAAAAAATCTTTTCTAGAACATGTAGACATTTGAAAAATTGTTCTATTTGAAGAAAATAGAGGGAGAAACAGAAGTCTTAAGTCTGTGGCACACTGTGTCTACAGACAGTTTGGAGGAGAGAGAACCTAGAGATCATAAATCATGAATTGAACATGTAAAATTCCCGTAAAATGTAGAAGTGGAATATGCTTCGCTCTTAACCTTGAGCCTAGTGACTTAGAGACACTGTAAGTCAGTTTTGCCAATAAGACTGTGGACTTCCTGCTTGTTCACTGAACTGCTGGGTCAAAACTCGATGAGGTGAATTTTGCGTTAAAGAGTTTACTTGCTAACCAATTTTGAATAGCCACGAGAGTGCTATTTGATATCACAACAGTGATAGTGTACACATTTGACTGTTTAGCCTTTGGGCTCTCTAGCACCTGATGCAGCTTTAAGTCACTGTTGCTAAATAATGAACTGTTTCTGAATGGTTGGTAATACTGTGGATGCCTCAAACTTAGGACTGTACGAAAATGTACGTTCTATCCAATTGCAGGTTTTAAATTGTTGGAAGTAACATATATTTGATCACAACTAGCATGTATAAAAAAATCTGGTTGTGATAAGTATTTCACTGCATGTTTTCATGCAGAAAGGAGAATTTTTTTGATCTTCCATACTAAGAACTGATCTCAAATGCTCAATACAGAAGGCACATGATGGCAACTGTCTTCAGTGTTGGTGGGGTGTTTTTATTCCGTTGTACATCTGGGGTTTTTTTTGTATTGCGCTTCTATATAAAATGTGCCTTGAAATAGTTGTAATTTATAGTTCAAGGAACACTACTGGTTATACTGTTGTATTGTGAAACTTCTGGGATGAACGAGAATTGAACAGGTTGTTGTTTCTGCATTGTCTCGTTCTCTGAAAACAAAGTCAGTATTTTAACAAACCAAAAAAAACTTAAATGCATGCATTTTCCATGGTGGAATCAGTGAAGGAGTCTTCGCTACTCTATTGATGCCTCTGTTCTGTTGTCCCAAGTTACTTGTAAGTAGCAGTCTGGGACAGTTGGGAGTGCATGTCTGAGGTGTGTAAAGCAAAATGTAGATTTGGTGTAGCATTTGTGTGTTAGGTTTTTTTCCTTAGAAAATAGAGTTCTATTTAGTAATTTGAGGTTTTGATTTTTTAAAAAACAGTTGGGCAATATTTTATGACTCAGTCTGATCCTAGAAAATTCAGTTTTAAAGTTAAAAAAAAAAAAGACATCCAGCTGTCACAGAAGGTGATGTATTCTAACTGTTTTGATGATTTTTATTAAGATGCTATTACATAATTTTGACTCGGAAGTATCTTTAACTGTTTGTGCTTCATTGACTAATATGAGATCAAAGCGAAAAATACTTATGCAGGTTTATCTTTTTTGCATGAGTAAAGACTTAACAGCAAAAAAAAAATCTACACAAAAATTTTACCTTTTTAAAAGTGATACATCTGGAATGATTTTGCTATAGCAGTATCTAAGATTTTAATGATCTAGCATCAAAATGGAGGTAAGACTTACATTAATGAATTGTTGATGTGTTACCAAGCCATTTGTAAAACTCGCTATGATGTGTTGAAAGAGGCATGCCATGCAGATTGCTTGTTTAACTTGGAGTTCAGAAAATTATTTAATACATTTAGATACAGATTGGGTGTTTTCTTAAGTCCTCAGCCTCTAAATGTATGTTTATAACTGAGGAGAGACAAGTAATTTGCCACTTTCTTTCAAAGCCAAGTATCAAAAGAAAATGTTATTTCTGTAGCTGCAACATACCCGAATTTGCATCATATAATTCTAAGTCAGTGGTGTGAATGTTCGTAATTCATCCATGGAGTAGCTGGAATAGAGAAAATTAGTTATTTCTTCGTAAATAATTTAGGCTGTCTTCGTTAACTGGGTTAAGATTTTACTGGGGTTTTTTTTCTGGAAAGGTAAAGAAATGATGACTCATGTAAAATACTTTGAGGGTTTTTTTTATTCTCTTTGCATCTTGCCCCCCTCCTTAATTGCTTTAATTGTCCACCCTTAAATACAACTTCTCTTAATTCATGTCATCTGATCTAGTTTTTGGTCCTATTCAGATCCTAGACTGAAGCTCTTGGTGTGAGTAACATGTTATAACTGCAGCCCTAAGTGCAGTTAGTTCTGGACCTTAACTGTAGATAAGGCTGTGCAGCATAATCATTGCTGGTGTCTAGAGGGGAAAATAAAAGGGCATGTAATCAAAGGAATGGCTATGCTAAGCCATTTCAACCATCATTAAACAGTATACACTTGGAATAAAAATTAGTAGAAAAGTCATTTGCAGTAAACCTAGTATAACAAACTCTAGTCTTCTGATATTTAACCGCTTACATTCTTACAGGATTTGTTGCATGTTATGTTCAAGAGGATTTGTGAAAACAATGCTGAACTTAGTTTGACAGCTAATAGGATTTATTTTAATATCCACTGGATTTTGTGTTCTTGAATGTGTTGTCGTTTTTGTAAATTGCAAGGGGAGGTTACTTGGTGCCCTACTAGTTCAGAACATCTGGAAAAATTTTGATGGGGAGAAATAGCATTATAGGTAACTATGCAAATTTCTATACAGGTAATAAATATTTTACATTTTGGCAGGAGTTAACTTGAAGAAATTAATGGGATTCTAAAATTGTCCCAATTCCAAGGAAACCGGTATTTGCTAATTTTACAGTTGGCATTGGTTTGTGAAGAGAAAAGCATTAAATGATTTAAGCACTGTAAACTTTTTCTACTTGTAGTGATGATGAATACAGTAACAGGAATTTGCAAATGGCTAAAAATCATGTCTGCCTAATAACTTTTGGGATCTGTCGCATTGGTTATCTCCAAAGTGGTCCTGCTTTACACAGAATGAACATCTCTAAGGAAACTTGCATCTTAAGTGTGCGACTTGGACTGTATTAGGTCAGCACAATTTAAACTTCAAGGACCTGGCATTGGACATCACATCAAGAAAGAAAACAGGCTGCTGCCTTTAGCAGAGTTTCAGGCCTCCAGGACTTTACACAGCCAGATTCCTTCTGGAGCAGCCCATCTGAAAGATTTGGGAAAGTCAGTCGGAAAATGTTAAATGGGGCATAGTTGGCAGAGCTTAAAAGTTGTCTAAGGCTTGAATGCTCAAAAGGTAGTTGATAAGGAAATTGCTTTCAGTTCTTTTGGTTGGGTATTTTGCTTGCAGGGGAGATCTGTGGCTGTGATTGTAGCAGAAGTTTCCTGTTCTACTTTTTTAATCCTATTTTTTTTTTTTCAATACTTGTCACTTGTTTAAAAGCAAACAAACAACTAAATGACCTTCTTGGTCTTGAAAAGCAATGCAAGTCTTGCCATTGAATTCACAATAAACCTGTTCAAGTTCGGGTTCTATAGAAAAGAGGACAGCTTAATTATGATGCTGAGCCTATTAAAAGGAGAACTGTTTGAGGATGCTATCCTGACTTGGCAGACCAAGAGTCCTAAAGGACTTCAGTTTTTTTCTTTTATGGAGTCAGCTGTATTGCCTATATATTAATTTGCATACTACTTCCTATAATGCTTTAAAATGTGATTTTTATAGTGAAGATTAAAGATGTGTAATGTTACCAATTTACTAAAGATAATCTTGTGAGTTGAAAATAATTTTTCCTGCTTGTTTCTTACTTCTTTCAGAAACTGAACATCCTAATGATCATTAGTTATGTGAAATCTGTCAGTCTAAAGGAAGCAGATAAGTAATATACTGCTTCCTTAATGTCCTGCCAATGTTTATCTACATTTTCACTCCTCCTCACCATACAAGATGTACTTAAGAAATACTGACTATAGAAGTCATGAAACAGACTATGCATGTGACTGTCAAGCATATAAGTTGAATTGAAAAATAGACATCTCACTTTTTAAACAAGAGTACTTGGACAGCATTTGACAGAATGCTTAAGCTTCTTAAAGAAAAATGGATGTCACTATGAAAAATTAACATGGGATTTATTATTTCCCCCAGCAACTTTTTCTTCATCCAAATTTAATTATTTAATTTTACTAGTACAATAAATGAGGAACATTTTTGCTTATGTAGTTTTTATGCAGTACTTGATCTTTTGAATTGCAAGACACATCTTTAATCAAATATTTAGCTCTGTTGAGAATTGGCCCATGCAAGATTGTGCATACTGATAATCCAGATGTTGGTATCAAAGAACAATATGCTTATTGATATTTTCAGTAATAAAACTTGCCTTCCACTTTATGGGACAGCGGCAGAAGATCTACTGGCGTTGGAACAGCATGCGGTAACTATAGGGAGACTTTCTGCTATGACAATTATGTTGAGGCATAATGTTCCTTGAATTGTGACATGCAGAAATTGCATCTCCTTTTTGTCCATAACTGTGATTGAGGAAGATTACTGAAGGTTTTGTATTCATTTTGTGATAGATGGCTCTTTCCTTTGCAGCCAAACAGGGAAAAAGTTAATGGCGAAGTGTCGAATGCTTATCCAGGAGAATCAAGAGCTTGGAAGGCAGCTGTCCCAAGGACGTATTGCACAGCTTGAGGCAGAGTTGGCTTTACAGAAGAAATATAGTGAGGAGCTTAAAAGCAGTCAGGATGGTAAGGGATTTTTTTAAAGAAAATGGAAGTTGCCTTGCACTTCTGCTAGTTTAATTTCCTGATTATACACATAATGTAAAACCATCTTTGCCAGAATGAAAGGGCAATATCAAGTAAAGTAGGACAAATGTAAGTCTTCACTGGTAGTCTTAATTAAAAGCAAAGAAACAAAATGCTTAACTTTTGGGGAACTGGTGGGATTTGCAGTCCAGTAATGCAGCCTTTGAAATTGAGATTTTTGTACTTTAGGCCTTGCTATTTAATAGAGAGTGTTTAGACTGCACTCATTATTGGTGAATTGGCAGAATGAAAGCTGTTAATAGTACACAAAGCCTAAGCATGCAGTGAGAACAGAAAGGTTCTTGTTAACTCTGACTCATTTTGAATTTATTTTTAAAAAATCAACTTTCTAACAGTGCCTAAGAATATGAAAAATAGATTTTTTCCCTTAGATAACTTAGATGAATGAAAATAGCTCATTGTGTTCACAGTCCAGTTTTTACAACGCTGTAAATCTTAATTGAAATTACCTATCAACTCTGACCTCTTGTATAAATTAAATGGAGGGGAAAATGCAAGTTAAAAAAGTCATCAGTCTTTAGTTCTGTGTAGGATCGGTGGTTCTTAACAGAATGTTAAAGTAGGTTTTGTGAAGTTTTAAGATACAACCTATTTAGACGTCACATAAACCTGAATATCTTTGTTTGTTTGTTTTACATCTGAAGTCTGTAAGATAGCATAGACTTGATTTGACATCAGATGTCAGTCTGAGATATCCTGTATTTTTAAGGATATTTCTTCCCCCAATCATATTTTCATATTTTTGACAAAGCAGTATAAGATAAGTAGAATCAATAAGGTAAATGATTCTATAATGTCATTTTGTTTGAATAGTTACCCTTTTGCATCGTAACTGCTATTTTGATAATGTACTTAAACAGAATTTATCAAGTACATAATTGAAGCAAGTGTAGCCGTTCTTTAAAGACTTCTTCTCTTGAATGCAGTAATCTCTAGAACTGAGAAGTGTTCTTCAGCCCCTATTGCTTCTTCCCCATATGAGTCAAGATGACAATAATCTTGCAATAACAGTTTTCCTAATAATTGTTTTCCAAGCAGCAAGATCACCTTAATCTTAGAAATTTTTACAGTATTAAACAGTTTGAATTTTATTTGCTCTGTCAAATTGATGGTGCAGTTGAATGGAAACTAAGGGAGTCAGTGTTTCTTGTATTGTTTTGAGGTCAGATTCATTTTGCCCCTGAATGGAATTCTAGTTGTAAAAACCGTTTTCTGGTACATAAATATTAAAACATCCAGTGGAATTAATTAACAGCCTTGTTGATAAGAAAGTCTTTTTGTGCCCTGTCTTGAAGGATTTAAAGGATTAAACAGAGTAAGAGCTGAAACTTCCTTTATCATAACTTTTTTTTTTTTACTGAGTAAGCTTTTGCAATTATTTGCAAATAATATGCAGTTATTCAATGGTTCATGTTCCTTCTTTTACAGTATTTCCACTAAGGTTTTATACTTGAGTAAGAGTAGACACACTAGGATCTATTTGTGAAATATTAATTGTTGGAATTGAGCTTTTTTTCCATGTATCTTCTTGCCCAGAAATTAACTTTTTCTCGCATATTTTGAATAGCAGTATAGAAAATAAGTGGATAGGACAAGTAAGCATTTTCTCCTTCAGAGGCAGAGTATCAAAACCAATGCATACATGATGGCTGTAAAATAGTTTGTTGAAAAATTTCAGCATAAAATGTTAACTTAGAGGATTTTAATTTCTTGTCTATATATGGGCTATTAAGTGTTTGCAACAAATGTGTTTTCTTTACATAGAATTGAATGACTTCATCATCCAACTTGATGAGGAGGTAGAGGGTATGCAGAGTACCATTCTAGTTCTTCAGCAGCAGTTGAAGGAGACTCGCCAGCAATTGTCACAGTACCAGCAGCAGCAGCAGTCCCAGGTCTCCAACCCAGGTACCAGCAGGACTCCATCTTCTGAGCCTACAGACCAGGGCGAGGCTGTGGGCAAAGACTGCAGCCGCCTGGCAAACGGACCAAGCAATGGTAGCTCCTCCCATCAGCGGACGTCTGGGCCTGGATTTTATAGGGAGGGTAGCGGCACGGAAGATGACTTCCCGGCTTCTCCAGGGAATGGTAATAAGCTGTCCAACCACTCTGAAGATAGAACTGGTAGAGGAAGTGGTAGCTACATAAACCAGCTCAGTACTGGGTATGAAAGTGTAGACTCTCCCACTGGCAGTGAAAACTCTCTCACTCACCACTCAAATGACACAGACTCCAATCATGATCCTCAAGAGGAGAAAACAGTGAGCATGAAAGGTAACAGAACTGTGGGTTCTCGTCATGTCCAGAATGGTTTGGACTCCAGTGTAAATGTGCAGGGTTCAGTTTTGTAACATTTTTCTGCAAAATTTTTATACAGTGTCATTGAAATTGGGAGAGGATACTGTCCAGAAGCCGTTTAAATTAGTGCATACTTGTCACAATTTTGCCTTTTTGTGGGTTTCTTTTTGCTTCAATACCTCTGCCACTTTGGAAATTTTAACAGTTAATTACGTTGAATGTTGCTAAAAGGACGTTTGTGTAGCTCAAGTTATTTTTATATGAGTTAATGTGAAGTTGAAATGGAAATTATTTCCATAAAGTATAACATAAATGATGTCTGTACAAATCTGTGTATATCTAGAACCTGTGCTGTGTAAGGGCATTCTTACTCATACTGTTATACTTACACCACCTTCAAGATTTGTCATAATAGCTGTGGGTTTATGACTGCCAAGTTTGCCCAGTACAGTAGTTTTATCACTAAAAAGAAGGACTTACTGAAGGAGTCCTGTAGTAGTTTCAGTGTTAATTACAGTTTTTCCCACCATACATCTGTGCATTTTCTCCTTAGGTGACCGAATGTTTATTAATTGTGTGCATAGTTACTCAGTTTTTAAGAACTGTTGTATCCTGTTGATGCATATTGCTCTGTGACTCCAATATTATCTTACCTGTACTGACCAAACCTAAATAAAAACTTTTAATAATGTAATTTTCTCATTGTTTGGCATTGGCTTACATGTCTTATTTGTATGCAGTGTATTTCTAGTACTTGCTGCCTTTTTTTTTTTTTTTAATTTTGTTTGTGTCAATCTGGCCTGATACAGTGTATGCAAATGCATGAAGTTACAGGTGTATGCTAATATTAATTTCAGGACAGCCTGATAGTGCTTGTCCTCATTGGCAGAAAAAGGGAGTGGGGGAAAGGAGAAAGCTAATAAAAGTAAACCTTATGAGTTGGAACCTGTGTTTATTAAGGATTAAAAAAACCCCAACAAAACCTACAAGCATCTAACAGGTAAATATACAGATTATAGTTCAATAAATTAACATGTTAGTTATTCAGCCTTTTAAACCAGATATAACTTCTCTTGTTTTTAAATGCCTGTCTAAGGAACTCTTGATTTCTTAGCATGCAGAGATTGTAAGAATTACCTTTAATTAAGCATATCCTTATTGTTCAGTAGCAATGAACTATGAATTTGTCAGAACCTGGATTTCTAGTGGTTATTTTCTATCTACTAGTTTACTGATGGAAGCACGTAAGCAAGGAGCTGAAAAAGCACTGTCTTTTAAGCATTGTTCAAAGGTAAGACAGAAGTACTTAGCTGTATGTTTTAGGATAGACTTAGGTCCAGTTTCAGCATTTTTCTACTTAGGAATCTTTTTAGTTGCCAGATAACTAATGAAATTATCACATATGTAGCCACTAAAATAATAGGAAGTAGCTTATTGCTTTGCCATTCAATGTGGAAACAGACTTGTTTGAAAGCAGTATTTCTCCAGACTTCTAGAGCATACTTCAATTAAATTTACAGTTAAAATAAATTCTTATATTATAAAAGGGCTTCTGTGTTAGCATTTTTAAGTGGCATATGACAATTATTATCTGCCATAATATTGTCCCAGACAAGTGGATGTAATTAGAATGCTACTAGCTACTGTTTTCTGTGTTAGAGATGTGCTAGTCCATGTACCGCTGCTATTTCAATTTCACAGCATTCATGTCGGTGTTTTAAAACCACATAGTAGTTGTCACTGGAAGTGCAAATCCATTGGTGATATCTGGTTGCTTTTTGAATGTTTCTTCAGCCCTTGTTGCCTGAAAAACAGCAGTTAATACTTGAATGCATGAAAGGGAAATAACAGGTATGTTACACAAAATAGTACTGGCATCTGGCACCCAAAGTAATTCTAGTTCACAGAAGTCTCTGGTGGTGATTTGTATTTGATCTTGGTATCGTATTCGTCTCTTATCCGTAGCATGTGTGTATGTACATCGTGGATCCTGTACATGTAGAATATAATATTTGTAGGAGGCTTTAAAGGCTCATAATAGATCATAATAATGGCTTTATCTGATCAGATAGATAGTAAAAAGCCCTGTGAGGAAATCTGTGGTCATTAAAAAAAATGCATAGCTTTTGGGTGAAAATAGCTTGCTAGTTAAATCTGTCAGTTTCTATAGGACTCTTTGTGTTTTAAAACTTCACATAAAGATGATCCTGGAGTGTGTGGTACATAATAGCAAAAAAAAAAAAAAGCTAAAGAGTTAAAAAACCCCAAAGTATACCCTCAGATCAGAAGCTTAACTTGCAGAAAAGTATTAAGGCAAGGTAAGCCATTCCCTTTGTTATCCCCTGCTTAGAGGGTATCTTCTGAATAAGCAGGCTTGAGGAGTGCTTTATTTGTTTGATTTTTCCCCTGCCATCCCCCCCAAACGAAAGCAACCCAGCAACTGCACCAGATAATAACAAAATACATCATGTTGATTCGCTTTCACAGAACACTTTCTACAAGCCCATGGTTAACTACAGTATAATACTATAGATGGAAATGCTAAAGTCTGTAATATTCATGTTCTTGTCTGGCTGTCAGTGCTTATATTAGGACATTTAATAATCCTGAATGTAGTTGGTTAATTTTAACAAAAGATTACATTTTATTGAGCACGAATAAATACAGTATATTCCTCTTTAAAATTAGGTAGTGCCTATATCTTGCTGCATGTATTTTTAGCGTTTGGGGGGAAAGTTGTTGATTTTGGAGAATTCACCTTTTGTCTTAGCTACTGATAGATATTTTCACTTCTCAGATTTCTGCAAGAGTATCAGTCGCTGATCAGAGAAACTAATGTTTTCTAGAGTGCCTTAAGGGTTGGGGGGGGGATGGATGTACTGCTGCACTGTGCCTCGCAGTGGGCTGAAATTCCCTGTGTGGGTCTCTCCAGGTGGATTTCCTGGCAATTGGCAAGATGAAGTTCTTTATTTTCAACAATATTGTTCAGGCCTAACCCCCACTGAAATTTTGTAACTCGAGTTTTTTATAGTCTGGTAAATGTGAGTGCTGTAAGATCTTAGAATATACACCTTTATTTAAAAAGACAAAATGTTAAGTTTGAAGATTTTGTGGGAGGAGAGATGACTTCCATACAACTTAAATTTTACCTAATGTTTGTCTTGTCTGCAGAGTGCCTCCTAACTGAGGGATGAGCTCTCCTCACTGGAGAACCAGTTTTTAATGGGTCTTTGAACTCACTTGCACTAACCATACAAATTATTTTAGCTGATGAGGTTAAGGAGGCTGAGTGCAGGATTTTCAAGAGCACCAAAGGCCCCTGAATTGCTGCCACGAGGAAAGCAGATGTTGGGAAGCAAGATGCACTCAAAAATAGGGGTAAAAGAAATAAACCAACAAAAGTAAGTCGTAGACAAAATAGATGAAAAGGTATTTGTTAGTCCTGCTAGTCCTGGCAGTAAACTGACAGAAAAATACCTTAGCCAGGTTTTCAAAAGCTTATTGCAGCTGTGCTGTGCTGGCTCCTCCCGGGTGCCCAGCAGCCCTTCCACCGGCACAGGCACCTGGCGCGCTTCCTTCTGCTTCGGCGGGGCTCCTGGGCAGCCTCGCCTCGCCTGGAGCCACGGAGGGACCGAGTTTTAAGAGAACGACTCTAAACAATGGTTAACGACGACGCGCTACGCCCGTTGTTTAAAAAAACCCCGCTGTTTTCCTCCCTTTGAAGAAACCGTGTGACTGCGGGGCCGGGTCACCTGCGGCGCGGCGAAGCTCAGCCCCCTCAGCCGCGGGGGCGGGCGGGGACGCGGCTGCGCCGTCCGTGTCGCGCCGGGCTCCACGCGCCGCCATGTTGTGCCGCTTCGCCTCCGCGGGCAGGTTAGAGCCGCGCCGGGCGCGGGGGCAGCCGGGGGCGGTCAGAGCCCCGCGGCGGGAGGCGGCGGCCGCTTCGCCCTCCGCCGCTGGGCCGCGGGGGGAGAGGGAGAAGCAGGGGAGGAGGCGGTGGGAAGGTCTTCTTCTTGCCCCCCGGCGTTTCCCCCCGCCATTTCGCGCGGAGGGAGGTCGCGCTGCTGCCGGTTGCCCCTCCCGGATGGCGCCGGCCCAGGCGGGGGCTGCTGGCGGTCGTCCTTGCCGCCCCCCCCCACGTTCTGTCCTCGCCCTTCATCCAGGGTCAGTGGTGGTCGGACAGAGTGCTGCAGACCCTTTCGTCTTTGCTGTCTGGGGTCGGCCCCCACAGCCCCTCCTCAGGGCCCCGGGGGTTTTGCTCGTGTTGTATCGCGGGGTTATGTCAAGGTCACCAGCGATACGGCGAAGGGCCTCAGGAGCTGACCGTCATGCTGGGTCGGCCGTTCTTCTGTCGTCGTGGCCCTTGTCATGTCGCATGACAAGTGCGAGGTGTTAAAATGGGGAAGGGTAATAACAACCTGCGTAGTTTTCTGCGCCGGGCATCGCGTCTGGCCCGGCGTCACGTTCCGTGTGCTTTCCCGGTACCCACTGTGGGGACAGGGAAGCACGTGTGGTCAGTGTTAATGGTGGAGAAGTTCAAGTCCTGGAAACCCAGTGACTGTACGAGGTTTTTAGCCTTTTTATGTCCCAGTGGAGGGACATTGTGGACAGTGAGGGAAGGGCACCTTAGCGGCATCTTTGCTTCTATTTTTAGTCAATAAAGATTAGGTGAAGCTTTGAATGTCACCATGTAATTACTGTCTTTCCGTTCCCATCCCTGCTTTTCACTCGCCTGCATGTTTGTGACTCTTTGCAACGGCCTGGGGGCTTGGTTTGAGAAGCAGTAGCTTTACACTGCAAAGCCTGTATATGTGGCCTTTCTGTGACTTTATCTTCGCAGTTAAGCTACAGAATATGCTTCCTTTGAGCTCTTGAGTAATGGAAATTTGACTTCATTAGGTAAGATATCACCCTAGTACTTAGAGCAGCTTATTATAACAGTGATGGTTTCAGTCTATTTCATTGGTAAAGCCCCAGGGTTATTGATTAACACTGTTTCCTTCTGTGTTCTTTTTTTTTTTTTTCTCTTCTAGAAGCAGCGCTAAGTTGGTAGCACCATTGGGATGCTTGGTTTCTAGGCAAAAGCACACTCTTCCTGACTTGCCATATGACTATGCTGCTCTGGAACCTCATATTAATGCAGAGATCATGCAGCTGCACCACAGCAAACATCATGCTACCTACGTGAACAACCTGAACGTTGTAGAGGAGAAATACAAAGAGGCACTGGCAAAAGGTTTGTATATCTGCAGTCAACAGGTGAGAATGGAAGGTTATCGGCAAAGATGATACAGGAGAGGAAAAAAAGGGGAAATAGTTTCTCTTAAAAGTTTTGAATTATGTAATTGTAACATTGTTAGGTAAAATCTCTCATTGTAAGCTTCAGTGGTGCTGATAATTGGAAATGAAATGTAACTAAAAAGCATGGATTCTGTTCTCTGTAGTACTGTAAAACTAGAAGAAAATTAATTGTTATTTGTGGGTTAGTCCATATTTACATTAGTAACTAGAACCAAACAACGTCTGAGACAATAGGAACTTGCAGTCATTTTACTGAATCAGTACTTTGTAGTAAAAGGTTAGTAGCAAAGTTATATAAAGTGGAATTTGTGCGCCTTAGTGGTTTTCACATCAGATGGTCCTCTTAGTCTTGGTGAATAATCTCAGTTGCCTGCAGAGGTGAGATGAACATGC